ATTTTTTGAAATTTTGCCCAGCCACCCTGCATGGTTCGGCCATCCATATGATGGATCTTTCATCCCTTCAAACCAGCGAGATCCATTAAGGGTTAAATACCTAGGCATGTTGGAGCAGTTTGGGAAATCACTTGAGTGGGTGATCATAGTGATAGGATTGACCCCTTTGTCGGACAAAGTGAATATCATGATTTACACTTTCTCTGGTGGAAACCTTAACTATCGGTAGTTGATTTTATCTGTATTTGAAATCTGGTTTTGCAAAATATATTTATATACTATATTACTATTTTATGAAAAATGTTGCAAAAGGTTTTTAATCTCGAGATCCATCTGAGCAGAGAGTGTGATAGAGGAGAAGTTCTTCCTTACCGGGCAGTGTTGTGATCATTGTGGGCCAAGAGGTTAAGTGTAAGAGATCATTATAAGACTGATTACTTGATGGGCTTTATATTACATAAGTCTATTATCCTTAGGTCTTAATAGGGTGGCTAAATCCAAAGATCATTTAAATATATATATGTTGGGTGCAGAATAAGCCCATGCTGGTTGGCTCAGAGGTTCACTGCCCTAAGTAGTGAATTCGGCCTAATCTCTTTCAAAGGTGGGGCTAAACCCTCATGGACTTGTATGAGACCTTTGTGGGGTCCCACACCATACAATATCAATCCCAAAGGGGACATGCAATACTTAGGGATGTGAGCATTTAAGAGAATAACTTTTATCTATTAAGGAAAAAAAGTTTATGATCCAAATCAGATTTGGATCATCTCCTAATGATTAGGAGTTTGCTTCATAAAGAGATAAAGAGAGAAGTGGGCGAACTAGTTTAGAACTACTCCAGTTCTTGTTCTTTTCTCTTCTCTCTTGTTTCTCAAAAAACCCTATTTTGATCTAGGCTTTCAAGAATTGAATTTTGTAAGTTTTCTTCTATGTTTATACAAGAAAAACATTGAACAAATTCAGGCTCACACATCCCACTCGATCCAAGCAAGTTGGATAGCAGAATTGCTAGAACAAGTGTTGTTGAATTAGTTTCTCCCGCACACTGTGCCATCTTCAGTTGGAGGCTGATTTTGGGACTGATATTTGGGTGTGAAATTCCACCTTGAGACATGTGATTTGTGGTCTCCATATCAGGTATAATTTGCTTTCAATTTGGTTTTAAATTTGGACCAATTCAATGCAAGATCGATCTGGAAAATTCAGTTTTCAAAATCATTAGGAAATCGATTCTCAAAAGGGTTAGAAAAATTTTTGAAATTCGCCCAGTGATCTAGCATGGTTCAACCATCCATATAAAGGATTCTTATCCTTCCAACATGAAGAAGATAGCATCAATGCTCTGATACCATGTTTGTATTTAGTTATATAGAAAAAGAAGAGAAAATAGGAGAAGAGAGGTTTAGAAGAAATGGGCGGCCTTACTCTCCAGCCCTCCAAAACAGACTTTTATATTAGGGCAATAAGAAAGATATATGGTGACAAATCTACCCCTAATTAGTAGGAAACAAGAAAACATAAAAACAAAATAAGCCTAGCCCTATTTAGCCCAAGAAGGAAGTTACACAAATAATTATCATGACATAACACAAACAAGCCCGAACTCACAATGCTAGGCTACACAACAATGCATTCCATGAACAAACCGAAAGGACACTATGGGAATTTCATGCTTAAATTGGACCTATTGAAGGCATATGATAAGGCAGAATGGAATTCCCTTTTCACCTTACGTCTTAGAGACTTCTCAAAACAATTCAATGAGTTAATCTCTACTTGCGTTGCTTTTGATCACTACAAGATCACCTTCAATGGAGAACATTGTGAAAAGATTTTTCCTTCCCATGGTCTCCGTCAAGGATGTCCGCTCTAGTCCCAACCCACATTACACCTCTAGTCCCTTAGGTTAGGTTTAGAAAGTTACTATTGTTACTTAGAGCATCGTCTTGTTGACGAGTTGCTCTATTTCTAGGTCTGGGCTTAGAGATCACTTTGTTCCTTTTTTTTCTTTCCAAATATGGGTTGAAACTCATGAATCTTTTTTCTTTCTTTTAGGGTATTACATGTTACACATTACATGAGAATTAAGGGGTGGGGATAGAACAAAGTGCACATGAGGTCCACTAACCATATCACAGAAAGAAAGCCTAAAAGTATGCTAATTTGATACCATGCCTCCATATTTGTAGAAATGTCGAGTGACCATCTCAGCAACGAGTCATGCTACTAATTTTTTCAGTTAGGCCTCGTTCACTTTTTGGTAAGTTACTTACGCATGTTTTTTATTTCCCAGGTAAATAAGACCTTGACCATTGTAGCCATAAAAATATATTATTAAAAGGGGCATTTTTTGCCCATCCAAGTATTGGGAACTTTCTCTCAGGTGGGAAAGTTATTTACCCACCTTTCCCATTTGGGAGATGGGCCAAGAAAATAAATTTTCCTTGGTCCCCACATAAATTTAAAAAAAGAATATGGGTTTTTTAGTCAATAGGAACCAAAATCACATTGACCAACTTTCCCCCCTCTCAACATCCACAAAAAAGAACATGGGTTTTTTGGTCAAAACAAATGTTTAGGTTGGAAGGAGAGCAAGGATTAGCTGAATGTGATGGCTATTCAGTAGGCTGTGGAACCAATGATAATGTTCCACACTAGTAATAAAATACATGGGATCCACACCTTTCACATTTGGGCCCATGAATTTATTATTGGCGTAGAACATTATCATTGATACCACAACTGACTGAACAGCCATCACGTTCAACTAATCTGAATTCTTTGAAGGACTAACACTCTTTCACAAGGGCTCTAAAACTAAATGGCCGAGAAAGGTATCAAGGGGGCAACAATCAGGCAGGCCTTTATAGTCTTCTTTTATCTAAACCTTATTCATCAATTGTTTTTCTGCTATGGAAACAATCTAAAGGTCCGTTTGGTTTGCAGGAATAGGGGTCTGGAATCGGAACTGGAATGGGCTATTCTGATTCCAACTGTTTGGTTGGGTGGAATAGGAATCCCATTCCCATTCTTGCTAGAATGGCATTCTCCCATTTGAGGGAATGGTCATTCTCTGCCATTCCCTTGGGAATGAAATCCCATTCCTGCTGATTTTAATTTTCATTCCCATTCCTGTCTAAACTAAACAGACTATGAGAATGGACTATTCGGGTTTCGATTYCGATTCCAATTCCGACTACAAACCAAACGGACCCTGAGTTGTGATTTTCCTGTCTGAACCAAACAGACTATTGTGATTTTACTTGCCACAAGTTGTTCTCTGTAATGCCCTTGAAATTATCCAAGCTCCAATCTGAACTGATCCAGGACAGAACGGAGTTTTTGTAGATTGTTAACCAGGCTTTCCTCCCAAAGAAAAAACAATTGAAGAATGGGCACAATGTCCTCAATGCAGCCAAAAATCAAGTCCAGTACTTTACAAACTTGTGGGTAGTAATCTTTGCCACCCCAACGCAGCACAAAGTCGATTATAAAGTCCAGTATTTAAAAACTTGCATCCCTAATCACCAACACCCGGTAGTTGGTGATTTGACATTCCTTCATTTGAGGTATGAACGGAGAAGTACGCCACAGTCCACTGTAGAATTCTGAAATTACAGCCCCCATAGTCTGAGACCGGATCTGCTCCTCAGATATGGTGTCTCACACCGACCTCACAGGCACATCTCACCGTGCATTAAAAACATTTCCCGTACTTATGTGTTATTATTTACAGGAGATGTTCTCAATGCATGGTGGGATGTGCCTGTGAAGTCATTATAAGGCGCCCTATGTGAGGAGCAGATCCCAATTCCCAGTCTACTAGTAACCCCCCCTTATAAATCGCATCCTACCGTGAATTTGGCATCGATGGGGTCAAGATTCATCCCACCTGTACAGTACAGTAGGATTAAAAATTCTGACGTGGACTGAACAGTCGCTCTTCCTATTATGAATGCCAGAGGCCTCATATGTACATCCCTAACCACTAGCCCCACTAACCCAACTCTTGGTCTCCTAATATGTAATGATTTATACTAAGTTAACACTAACCAACTACCGGCAAACACCCAGTAGTTGGTGATTTGACATTCCTTCATTTGAGGTGGATAAACCACAGGAGCAAGCTATATCATATTATGAATGCCAGTGGCCTCACATGTGCTCCCTGCAACCATTAGCCCCACTGGCCACTGACCCGACTCTAAATATACTGTATAATGATTTATACTAAGTTATCACTAATCAATGAGAACTCATAAAAAATCGTGGGGGTGGTTTTGATTGGTCAAACTCGTGCGAGAGTGGGGATATGATACCAAAAGATCTAGTTATTTAAAATTGTTGACTAATCAAAAGCATTCCCATGAATTTTGAAGAAGTCTAATTCATTAGTGTACAATTAGTACAAATGAGACAAGATCATAAGTATCATACCAATGCAATGGCTGTGTTGGGAACATTACAGCCATTACACATCCGGTCCCAACAAGTCCCAACAGTCATTACAGCCATGAATGAGGAACATTTCCCTTGTCCTTCAGGGTGAGATGTTCCTAATGCACAGCTGCACTGGTAGTTGGGACCCTGTGTTCGGACTCAAGGGCTATAGAACATAAAATGCATTTGACCCAGAGAACAAAACAAGTAATTTCTAGTAATAACATTCTTTCCATTTGAAATTAGGCATTTTTATAGTCTAATCTCCTTCAGAATTCATATATTAATTCTACAAATATATCTATCTTCACCCCCTATAAACAACATCCCCGGAATCTCCCCCTTGACACAACCTAAAATGTATAATCACATTATGGATTTTGAGGTGGACTGAACTCCATTGAAAAAGATTACAAGTACAAATATATACAATATAAAATCTTGTACTGTATTATTTTATATATATTTATAGTTGTACTCTTTCCAAAGGGAGTGGGCAAAACCCCTAATACCTTTCTGTAAAATCACCATTAAAAAAATGCTCAAAACAATCAAATAAAAAATGACGAGGGACATAAAGGGCTTAACCAATAGATATATATATATCCCTTACACGTGCATAGAAAATATATTATTATTCCTTACATATCTAAAAGAGAGAGTAAAATCTAAGACCGCCATAGTATGGGGTCTGCCTCATGAGCGGGCTGCGCTGCCCAAATAGTCCAAGATAACATTCACACTAAAAAAAGGTCTCCGTAAACTCTGGTTATTGGGACGATTGGGCGGTCTGAACTTATTCATTTGAGATGAGATGTTGTATATAGGGATATATATAATTATTATATTATTATATATATTCGTGCGTGTTGATCATATGTTTCTTCAGAGTTCAGACACGGTTTAGTGAAGGAGAGGGTGATGTGTTATTCGACCAAATGAAGACCCTCCAAAGGGGTCGTTGCTTGCGTTTGGGAGGGTTAGCCATCAGCTCCGACTCCGACCTCCTCAGCATCTCCCACATCACCTGCACATCTTCGTATCCGCATGTCTGTACATCGTCATGCAGCTTTAAAAGCCCACTTCCTGCCCGAAACAACAGTTAAGACAATATTCAGATTACGATGGATCATTAGATCAGTTCAAATCGTCACGCAGCTTTAAAAGCCCACTTCCTTCCCAAAGCAACAGTAGAGACAATATTCAGATCACGATGGATCATTAGATCTTTGAACTCAAATCTTCTAGGCCATTGACTATAGTAATTAGAGGAAAGCTAGTGAACACCTGGTTTATGCAATTTCTGAACAATTCATCATCTGACCAGATTAGTGGGTGTTTGGTAAGATTACAACCATTTTGTCAAATAACAGATTCTCAGGTTTAAGTTGTCAAAAAAAAAAATAATAATAATAAAAAGAAAGAAAAGAAAAGAAAACACAAAAATAGCGACATGACATCTTTTTTTATATGCTTCCTACCATGTGTTTGGATGAGTGATTTAAAAGGTGTGCCTAGGCAATAGACAAGGYGCATTTCAGGATAGGCGCCTCGCCCAGGTCCTAGGCGCATGCCTGATGCATTTAGGCGTGCGCCTAGTGCGCCTTGTGCCTCGGCCCAAGCATGTGCTTTTTGAAACGTTTTTGCTTTTTTTTTGTGTCTAGTGGCTGGAACGGGGGCTTCGCCCTCAGACCCCCGTATTATACCCCTATTTGGTAATATTGTTCATTCATTCATCCTAATAAAATACCTTATTAAAAAGCAATAAAAACTATAAAATCATTATTTTTTTTTTGTGAGAACTAGAATTTAAGACTTAACGTGGACTTATTTAGGCTTGCCTCAAGGGGCGTGGTATAAAGGTGGCTCGTAGAATCAGGAATGTAATATGTTTTACATCACATTAGTTACTTGAAATAATGTAATTGGGAAAAAAAAGAGATTGTGGGTTTTATATGCTTAAAAATGTTTTATGTATTTGATTTTATTTTTAAATTCTCATTTGAATATGTTTTACATGTTATATTTATGTATTTTAATATTGGATAGTAGGTTTTTTAAAATTAAAGTTCATATTTTTATTAATATCATATTTATTAATTTTTTTGCATTTTTTTGAATTTTTTGAATTTTTAACCTTTTTTAATTTTTGTGCCTTGCTTAAAATGGCGCACGCGTCGCCTTGCGCCTCAGGCGCAAATTGACCCCTATGCCTTATGCTTTTAAAACACTGGTTTGGATATATTTATTTGGACATCATTAAAATGGAAACATCACAACATCACTATCATATCAAAAATCACTTCTATAATAATCTCCAATTTTAAAAACCTATCTATCTATTCATCTATATAAAAAATCACTTCTATAATCACCTCCAATTTTAAAAATCTATCTATAAATACCCATATTTTTGAATTTGCTTCAAATGTGAGGATAGAAAATGTAATTTTAACTATTATTTTCAACACATTCAATTCCTTCTTATTAAGTTTTATAATTAAGGCATTAATTTTCATAATCTCTCATTGAATTCTACTCTTAACAAAAATACCCACTATTTTTTAATTTGGTTTTTAATTATTATTTTTCACCTCATTCAATTCCCTTCCATTAAATCTTATATTTAAAGTATTAACTCCGTGAATCCTACATTTAAGCTATTTTTTCTCACTAATAAATAGCTTAAATGTAAGACTCAATGAGAAAGAATGGGAGTTAATACTTTAAATATAAGATTTAATGAAAGGGAATTGAATGCGGTCAAATGGGTCAACCCATGATAACATAGTTGAATAATAAATTTTTTCAAAAATTAAAAAAATTGGACACAACACTAACATTTTATATTAATCGTTTTAAAGAAAATAACTGTCATAAAAAATAATTGCTTCATTGATGTTGAAAATGAAATACAAAATTTAAAATCGACCCAAAAGTGAACTTGTTTTCCTATTTGGTGGCAGATCAACAATTAAACCTCTTAGGCCTTGTTTGTTAGCATCTTTGTAACATACCCAGGTAAGTGCACTTACCCATGTTCTTTTGGTTTCTAGGATTCCTAGGTCAGTAACAGAATGACATTTTTACCCATAAAAAGCTAATATAAAAATGGGCAAATTTGTCCCATTATGCTTTATAAAATTTCTCCCTAGGTGGGAAAGTTACCCACCTAGGGAAATAGAGTGTATTTTACCGTGGAGCCCATTAGTACATGCAAAAAGAACATAAGTTGGTCAATAGGAAAAAGATACCCATTGACCAACTTTCCCAAGCTTATTTATCAGTAAACGAACGAGGCCTTAGGTCAAAATGTGTCAACCCTTTATATCATAATAAAATAAGAAAAATTAAAAAATATAAAAAATACAATATATATATATATCTGTGAAAAATATATAAATTTTGTAAAAGGAAAATTATTTTTATACAAAGAGTATAAAATATTTGTAAAAACTGGAAAGTTATTATTATTTCCATAGTCATCTAAAACTATCATGTGCAATGCATGTGCACGTCTTCTAGTTATTCCTAAAGACAAACATGGAGACAAGTCAATTCTTCCACTTTATAATGTGGCGAGATGAGAAAGCAAAAACCCTAACCTGAGCTTGATGCAGTTGAAATTCTCCAAATTGGACAATTGAACAAGTAGTCCTTCCGAATCAATTCCACTTAGCAAACAACATCTTATGTACCCTAGATTGACTTGAATGGTCCAAACTTTAATTTTTCACAAAAAGCATAGTTTTCAAGGCGCCAAGGGAAGGCTGGGTGTTTGGGGTCGCCTAGTCGCCTAGGTGATGGATTTTTTTATAGAGAAAACATAGATCCTAGGGTAGTTCCGTAGGTACCATAGTATATAAACACACAAAATGAATATTTTAGTTTAATAGTGCCTATTTTATAAGTATAATGTCAAAAAATAAAGAATAAAAAAATAATTTACAATACATAAAATAAAACTGCTTGGCAATTAAGTGAGGCGAGCCTCAAAGGATGCCTTGTTGCATAGGGTAATTTACAATACATAATACAAAACTGTTTGGCAATCATGTTTTGCTTTTACCCATTTTGGAACTTTAATAAAAAATTTTTTAGGGTAAATTACAAATAAATACATGTTCGTGGATAGTGTCATACTTAAGGGCTTGAACATTCAAGTGTGACAACCAAGTATCCTAAACTTTAGGAAATATGCACACAAGTCCACCGTCATTAACTAACATCACAATGGGTGATAAAATTACCAAATTGCACATTATTTTCCAATTTATTTAAGATCGATACCACTACTTTGGAAAAAAATAAAGCAAATTACAAAGACTTTTCTCTATTGATTAAAGGGGGGGGGGGGTGGGTATCCAAAACAAAGAACAGGCTATATGCTCTGAACCTCAAATCAACCCAAGCCCCAATGATTTGATGTAAATACATCCATTCATGTGGATTTTGAAGTCCTAAAAAGTTTTAAAAATGAAAAGGAAACAAAAATAATCACATTATGTACATCAATGGTGGTTCCTAGGTTCAGCTGTTTCTTGACGAATACACAAGTGTATTACAATTCTTATTGAACTCGCTTCCTCCAAACTAACTTGAGACATTGAGAACCTCAGTATGTGTATCATGTGCTACAACCATAGTAGTGAACTTTCCACACCAAGATGGAAGCCAAACTATGTAGCATGTGTTATGGCAGTAAAAGATTGGATTATTTGCATTTTTACTATTTATTTGACACAATTTCAGTTTTTCACGAATTGCATGTGACAAGGCATTGAATATCAATCAAGAGGCCCTTACTTGTTTGCGCGTTTCAATATGAGAATAAAGATGTTGGAGGTGATTCTACTATGGTTATCACTAGGGATGAGCATTATTTGGTTAACAACTTAAAACCAAAAAATTGAACCAAAAATTTTGATTTTGGTTTTGTTCGGTTTTTGAATATTTCGGTTTCGTCTTCGGTTTTTAGAATTACAAATTTGGTTAACCAAATAAACTGAACTTTAGTATATAATATGTAATATATAATATATAATGTGTAAGATATAATATATTATATGCAACATAATATATAATATATTATCTATGTTATTAAAATTCGGTTTTAACCAAAATAACCAAAAACCAAACCGAAAATTTTGGTTTCGATTATTTCAGTTTTTCTAAAATTCAGTTTTGATTTTGGTTTTTATTTTTTCAGTTCAATTTTTAAAATTTCGATTTATTCAACTCAATCTTTTGAACCGATAACCACCTTGTTTGTGACTTGTGAATGCCAAGGACTTCAAATTTTGAAAAGGATATGATGAGATTCAAGAATAGGAAAAGGGAGAGTATGATGGCGGGCTCTTCAACGGACTGCCTTCTTCTTACCCACCTTTAAACCCAATGTTTTCAGTGTCAGCAATGGTGCCAAGAAGATTATTGCTAAAATCGAACCCATGGCAACAAGAAAGAGAGAATGAAAGTTTAATGGGAGGTTGGTGAGAAGGGTATTTTTGAAATTTTAAAAGTTTTAAAAGTGCACATGACACCACCTATCCAAGACAATTGACGAAATGCTAACGGTCAAACTTGACCATGTATTTTTCAGGGTACTTGATTGTTTCACCTGAAAGTTCAAGCCCTTAATTGTCACTACCCCCAAAGTACAAGGTACCTATATGTAATTTTCCATATCAAAACATGTTGAGATATAGTAGGTTCCCACACCCAAACGATTGAATTGTTTATAGAGGAGAATTGTTGATTGGAATCACATACCAAAGCGAATAGGATCCCAAACTCTAGCATTGGATTCTTTATCATTGTATTAAGCCCAGATAAAAAAATATTCCAATAAAATGAATTTGATTAGAGAATAGGCCAAGGTCTATTCCATCACATCCAATTGGCTCACCAATGTTTTGAAAATTGGTTTGTAAATCCCTCAAGTAAAACTCTTCTAAAAGTAACTTATTGGCTAATGTCCTCAACTAAAGAAGAGTCCTAAATTTTCTACAATTTGTGGGCATTTTGGTTTTCAACTCAAAATCAACTAAATCATCTACTACATAAATGTTGTTTGGCTATTATGCTTAATTAGGAGCAATGTTTTCTATCAAATTGCAACCCTTTCAAAAAAAATCCAACATGACAGTGACTGCCATGAATGGTTCAATCAAACAAGATCCGCTACAAAGAAGACTTGTACAAACGGATATCTAATCAATTCAAGAGTGAAAATAATCCAAAAAAAGTACAAACTTTACGGATAACATGCATGTCCACTCTTGATTGGACTACATAGTCCGTTGTACAGGCCATTTTATAGTATATCTCCAGATTCAATTAAAATACACATAACAACAGAATAAATACTTTTTCAAAATGCATCTACTTAAACAAATAGATTTGCTCTATGCACACCAACCTCATGGCCTATCACAGTCATGCATTGGGAACATTTCTACATTAATGACAACATAAAGTATAGGACTGAAAAAGCTGTGACATTGATGTGAGGAGCAAATCCCGATTCTTGTAAGATTAATGCAACTGACCCCATAGATAACAAGGACTATGATGATGATACATTCCAATGCTAACACTAAGAATTCTATTGGATGATAACATTTGAAGATATAATAAACCTATCACTAAAACACAAAGCAATAAATTTTCCAATATTCAAAGGACTGGACCGGACATAGAACCGGAGAAAGGAAACATTCATGGGTCATAGGTTCAACCAGGGTCGAACCATGATGACATGCATGTATATAATATATATATATATATATATAGGTGATATAAATGCTGTATATAATATATTTTTACAACTTTTAATATAATTAGATATGATGGATGGATGACAACTTTTTTAATTTTTAAAACAAATGATAAGAGTTCAAGTCTCTTAATCTATATTTTCTTTAGAATACATGTATAATGAGGTAATATACACGATAAAGAGTCATTAAGGTTGTGTTTGTTTTCAGTGTAAAAACGGGCCACTGTAAATAAACTCCACTCCCGATCCGTGTTTTCATGCGTTTGTTTTCGGTGTAAGTTTTACATTGAAAGTCGATGTAAACCTCCCCATCATTTGAGTTTTACATAAATAAATACTAAATTGATGTAATTTTACACATCAATGTTGAATTCCATTGATGTAATTTTACATTAATGACATTTTATGACTAATGGTAATTTAACAATATATAAACATAAAAGATCATGAGTTCAAGTCTTGTCAAATGTATTTTAAAATTTTAATTATTTAATGGCCCGAACGGTTTCATGAATTAAGAACAATTTAGTAGTTAAACCAACTGATCAACTAGTTTTAACAAATATGATTATTGGGGTGTGATGAATTGACTGGTCATGAATCAACTGGTCCAACCGACCGGTCCGATTCAGAAAGAGGAAGTATCAACAGAATATTCAAGTCCAACCGCACATCTCCAAGACTCCCAAGAACAAACCCGAATTAAATGGTTTCATGATTCATCATGACTTATTCTTCCTAATATCGATGATGAACGACACGTGACGCGCATGCACGGTATGCTACCCATCACCATAATTGCAGGAGATGAGTTTACATCAACACACCGACACATCTTTTACAAAAGGCGCGACAACTTACTACAAGTCATGCAGTCGACTGCTCGACCGTTGGATTTCGACAGACGTTAAACTACCATCCGACGGTCTCCTTTTGGTTTAGATACTACAAGAGCAAATGCCCTTTCAGCCGTTGGAATGGTACCCACAAACGCATTGTCTGTCGGGTTCTGATCCAATGGTTGGTGTCTGGAGAGCTCTCGCTTTGGATAAAAATGAGAATAAAAAAGAAAAAGAATTTCTTTAATTTATTTTTTTCAACCAAAAAGAAAAAGAATTTCTTTAATTTATTAACTTTCCAAAAAAATAAAAACTCAATAATTTCTCCTATTTTACTGAGAAAAGCAAAAAGTTGTAGAACTGCATTTCATAATAGAAATCAAGAATAAAAAAATTAAATTATATATCGATGAACGAAAGCATGAACCAGACAAACGAAAAAAAAAAGAAACAATTATCATTATCAATTATCAAAAAAACGATGCGAAAGAAGATTGATAGTTAATGCTAACATGCGCCGGTGGAACGTGGAGCTTAATCGACCCAGACCATCTGAACTGCTAACGATCAGAGCAAGATCGGAATGGTCTGATCTCTGCTTGGCGCGCGCCATGTACTACATGCGCACGGTAGCTTCTCCACTCCACAGTCCACACTTCGTTAATCCAAATCCAACCAATTTTCTTAATTAAATTCATTATTCGGTACATCCGCGAAGAAGAAGTTGAGTAGAGAACTCACCGTTTTTCCGAGACCTGACTCGAGCAGCAACAACAACCCAGACTCTCCTCATCGGGAAAATCATCTTCTGCCACCAATCCATCAATCGATCCTTTACTCTAACCCTAACCCTCTTCGTCCGAGTCACCCCGAATCGGACCTCAACCGACCCAAACTCAGCCAGAACTGAAACCCCAAATCACTCCCCCCGGCCCCGATACACGCCACCACAAATCAAATCCACTGAACTAATCAAAACTAAAACCTCTCAAATACAACAATCGACTGGTCAAGGGAGAGTGAGGGAGGACGGAGACGAAAAGAGAGATATCAAATCGAGACAAAAAGCCCTGGAAACACGTTTCTTCGGTTCTCGCGCCAGGCGGCTCCTCTTCGTACCTTCCACCTCTGTTCTCAGTTCTCCTCTGCTTTGCTTCGCTTCTCTTTTAGCTTTAGGCAGTTTTTCCACCGGGCCACCGGTTCTTCTGATCGGAACTGACCGACGCGTGCCAATGGAAAAGGCAGTATTTCAGTTTCCACTCTTTGTCGAGTGACGATGCGACGTCTGCACTCAAGTGATCGTGCTTTGGCATCTCTCAAATAAACTCTTCGTTTGGATGACGTCGTGGCATTGCTTTAGGGCGTTAAACGTATTATAATATTATTGGTTGATTTTCTAATTATGCTTTGACTTTTGTGTCGGCGTATTAGATCGTAGGGAGAGAATCCGAGCCTTTTTTTCTTTTTTTTTTCAAGTTCAAACGAAGTAACCAATTTGAAAATTTTGAAATCAATTCCTCGGCGTCGGCAAAATGTGATAGCCAAACAGAATTTGATCAAAACTCTTTCGGTATTATATCTTTTCCGCATCAAAAATTAGAAAAGATATGATATCCGAAAAACAACCACTAATAAACTAGAATCATAAATATGACAGCGAATCATCAAATTGATGGGTGGATTTTGATTGGTCAAAATTCTTTTCATAATATATCTTTTCCGTATTAAAGATTTTCTCAAAGTTTACTCGAGAATTTATCGTAGATTAGAGGTTAGATCCCAACCGATCACATGATTTTAATGTGGGCCACTATGAATGGTCAAGATCACATCCAATAAATGGTCAATATCTATGAAAAATATCTCTTAGATGCAAATCAAAGGATGGGATCATGGGATGACTTAGGGTGTGAACTGTATTCTAAAATTCGATTTCGAATTGGATATTCTATATAATTAAATCGAGTTCAGATAATTCGAATATCTAATCAGCTGAATTTGGATATTCTATTCTTATCAAATAAGATTCAAATTCGAATATGACCTGATTTAATCTGATAAATATCCGAATTTGACCAATTATTTAATTCTTATATATAATATATAAAATATTTTATATGATTTATATATAATAATTAAGTTATATAAATAATTTATATATTTATATACTTTATATCAATAAAATATTTATTTTATATATTTATTGATTATCTAAAATAATTAATTAATTGAATTCGAATCGAATTGAATATTTGAATATTTAATCATATTCGAATTCGGATATTAATTTTCAATATCTATTGGATATCGAATTTTCGAATCGGATTCAAATTTAGATATTGCATGATCCTATTTGAATTCAATCCGTTTACACCCCTAGGTGGAAGCAATATAAATTTGTGAAACAATCATGTTGAAAATGGATTTTTGGCTCCAATGACCCTTGAATTTTGGAAAATGATCAATTTTGATCCTAACTTAAAAAAGGGAAATTGTCTAAAACTCACCATGAGTTTTCAACATTTCTCTTAAACTCACCACAACTTTTCAAAATTTCTAAACCTCACCATGTCAGTATGTTTTTATTTTCCAAAATTCACCTTCTGTTAGTGCAGCGTTAATGCTTCTTAACAGAGGTGTCCATGTTGGTATAAATAACAATTTTCATGACCAAATTACCCTTGAACGGTGAGTTAGAGGAAAAATTGTCTTTTTTAGTTTTCAATTTTCTTGTTTTTTTTTTGCATTTTTAGTGTTTTGTTATAATTTCCAATGTTTTTTTTATAATTTCTGTTTTTTTATATTTTTATTTTCTACAATCTATAAATTTTCCTGTATTTTTTGTTATTTATTTGAAATTTCTGTGTTTTTCTATAGTTTTTTGTGTTTTTCTACAATTTTTATTTTCTGATTTTGTTTTTCAATTTCTATAGTTTCTATAATTTGAAAATAATTTTTTATTTTGTTTGTAATTTCTATAAATTTTTATATTTCTTGTAATTTCTATGTTTTTATATATTTTATATTTGAAAATATTTTTTTTGAACTTTTTCCTTTTTAAATGTCTAAATATTAAAATGGTAGTATATTAACACCCATTAATTTATTTTGTATATATTTTATATTGTTCTATGAATGTTAAAATGGTAATATATTAACACCCGTTAGTGACATGATGAGTTTTAGACATGTTGAAAAGTTGTGGTGAGTTTAAGAGAAATGCTGAAAACTGATGGTGAATTTTCAATAATTTCCCTAAAAAGAGGCCATTTTTTATCTCGAACCATTAAGAAAAAGGCCTCCTTAAGGTTAAAATGGGTCATAGATATTGATGCATCTATTAGATATCTATTTAAATAATTGTTTTAAATGACATGGCTTGCCGAGTCGGCCAAAACTTTTGTAGGTGAGCTCCACTAAAAGCTTTTGCCCATTAATCAATGTATACATGCCAACAAAATAACCCAAAACAAAATTAAATAAAAAAACAAGCATAAATTTCTTAAACTATCTTTATTGTTTAGCTAATTTATTAAGTATACCTTTACTGTTTGACTATTGTGTAATGCTATCCCTATTGTTTCTGACAATTAACCATCTCTATCCTTTTATTGTTATCATCCATTAATATTTTATCAAAACCCAAGTATATTTTTTTTAAATCCAGTTTTACCCTTATCGTCTTCTTGCTTTCAATAGCAACAAACTAACCTGGCTCACCTCTCTCTCTCTCTCTCTCTCTCTATTTGGTTGGTGATTGTCACCGCCTTCAAAATGGTACCACTATGGAGCTAACGGACTATCCGGTGGATCGCGGACTACAACGTCATATAAATTAAAGCGAGCACTGCGGTGCTCCATCCCAAATTGAGATCTGGTTTCAATCTAACAAAGTGCTACCCGGCAAATCTACTTGTGATGACCCTCGACGGTACCTGTTGTTTAGTATGAGCAGCAAAAGAAATTCCATGCAGCTATGAATGCTTCGGTTGCACAATAATCGGAGAGGGAGATTTTGATAGTAACGATCGGCAGAGGCTCCGCCATCTCCTCAGCTATTTTTGGTGGCAAGATTGTTGGATTTTAATCTCATAAGAGATTAAATCCAATGGGTTTGATTGGTCAATTACATGAGAAATTGCACCTACAAACTTGATTGAAAAATTAGTTTTTCTCTTACAAAACCAGTTTTGAACTTGTCCCACATTGGAAAATTACAAGCTTTGTTTTCAATATTTTAATAAGAGTTGATTTACACTCCTTAGAAATAGTAGAGGAGAGTATGGGGGTTTGATACCGCACAACGTGCGCGCACACATGTGTGCGGTGGAATGAGGTGCTTTAGAGGCGCACTTTGCTCGCAATTGGTGCGATGCTGACCGTTGATCACCGTTGATGAGATCAACGGTCATGATTCGATCGGGTGTGATCAAGAGGCACAATTCAAAGTTAACGGTCATTAACTGTTAACTACTTTTTAACTGTTCAAGGTGCCTTCTCTGAACCAACACCTACCTTTTCTTCATACCTCTTCATAAACTATTTAAGGAGCATGAATCAGACTCCAAAAACACACAATTTCAAAATTCACTCTCTCTCTCTCTCTCAGTCCACTCTGCTACATTCTCACAGAAGGTTTCTTTGGAGACTCTTCAACTTTGTTGGTTGCAGATTCTCGCCCAAGGCTCTGTTGTATCCTAGGAACGAATTTGCCTATAACCCAACAGCAAACTCAATGAAACTGAGTGGGGGCAAATAACGTTCTAAAGACAGTGTCTTCAGACGCGCCTCAGAGCTTATCCTCCAAAGTTACAGTGACCCCATTTCTCCAACAGAGATAATGTTCGGTAGAACCTTTTCCTCCTTAGACAATTTCTTTGCTTTCGTTGGGGTGGAGCCCCCTCATTAGGTGGTGGTGCTCCCTCTTTTTGCTCCTCAACAATAGGGCTTCCATACAACTTCACTCGACCAAGAAAATGGTTTTTTCGAGCACTTCCACTGTCCTTCCCCATTTTCTTGTTGCTGAACACCTCAATTTTGAGCTCCTCTATTTCCATTGTCTTGGGATCCATAATAATGAACTTGAGCTTATTCAAGTCTCTGAACTTAGTCGAAGTTTGCTTCCTCTGTCCGTCGAAGTCTACGAAGATGTATAGGCTTGAGCTGCTTTGGCTGTCTTTGGGGACAAGAACCTGTTTTGACTGTCGCTGCTCGACAACCAATTGTTTTATCTGAGCCAAAACAAACATCCTCGTGAAATTCCAATATCTGATTGAGAGAGAGTGAGAAAGAAGACAAAACACACTACAACAAAGATTAAGAAAAATCTTGATAGGCAAAGCAGGAGAAATACGAGGGATTTCCTCCAGTAGAGAAGTGAATGACTTGTTGGTCGCTGATGTATATACCTAGAGAAAAGATTGGAGAACAAACTCACCATCATTTTTCTTTCAAT